TTTTGGGCGGGATTTTGTATTTGTGATTTTTAACTGATTTAGATAACATTCTCATTATAATAGTGTTTTTGAGTTTCATTTAGTGTTAATTAAATTATAATATTTATCATGTATATGACTTAATTTGTTGGAAATATTCACCTATTGGTTGCTACAAGAACATCTAAGAATATGTATTTACTAAACCCAGGACATGTTTTATTATGTGGTTTAAAGGACATTTCAGATACCAAACGTTTATTATTGATGAACTTATTTAAAAATCTTACTATCCTTATTCTTATATTATGAAGTGAATTGTGTAGTACTTTGTATACATGTAAATGGTAATAAAACCGTCATAAATCAGATTTCAGTTTGATTCTGAACAAAGTTGTGCAAAATTTCAATATTGTGAATTTGTGGATATCCATTTATCGTAAGAAACTAAAATTTTACGACTAACGCTTGGAAAATAATGAAAATTTCAGTTTTGATTTTGACATTAACTCCATATAGATTGCAATTTGCTGGCGACTTTTTCGCAATTTATAAACACTATCACATACTATAAGAAATAAACAAATTTAAAGCTAAAAAGTAAGAAAAAACTCGAATTATAATTGATACAAATTAAAATATAAACAATGAACACGAACGCCAATGTTGCCAAATGATGAACTGATTTTAAAACAAAATTAATAAACGAACTGAAATTTAAAAAAAAATCAATCTAATTAATCGGTTTTATAAAAAAAATCCTTAAATAAATATAGAGCATGATCACATATATTACTAGCTACAAATTTTGATTCTTAAATAAAAGGTCTTATCCACTTCTTCAAGGGCTATAATCCGACGACGTAGCGAAATTTCGCTACTTCTGGCAACACTGAACGATATCCTACTTATAGGCACCTCTTACAAATTTCCTCCAGAGGGCGTATCACTTAGTTTGAATCGCGAATAGTTTAACAAGGGTAATTAATAATTCAACAGTGATACACTGAACTATTTGATTACACTTGCATTCGTTATATTTTCAAATAACCAATTACTTGACCATAAAAGGAAAAGATTATGAATAAAAAAATTATATTTTTTCTACGATCACTATCCAAAGTAGGCTTTTGCGCTTCGAAATACAACGGCAAAGTTGACGTTTTCTGCGAACTGACATTAAGTGACAGCTTTGTTGCTTGCCTAATTTAAATTAGATATATTTCTTTTTAATAAATCATTTTCGAGTTATTTGTATGTAGTTTGATGTTTTTTGTTTTATTATCCAAGTAAATATTGACTTTAAATATCTACGTTTTTCATGATTAACGTAGATATAGGCAGCACATTATACACTACTTATATTATATTATTTCTTAAAATAATGTGATCGTAGAAAAAATCTTGTGTGCATTTTGAACGAAAAATTCGTTACAAAGTTGTAATGAAGTCAATTTTCATTATTATTATTATTAATTAATTCCGGGTATTAATTTCGATTTTCAATTAATTTCAACTTCGTGGATATGCCCTGTATATCATCTGTTTTATCGCTGTTCAAACCATCGTCGAGGTACTGTGCCTGCGCGCGTTTTAATGGTGGGATTTTCTGATGTGGTAGGGCATGCGACGACTAAAACGTGGTCCGAGATTGAATTGAAATTTTTAGTTCCTAAAATACCGATTTATCGAACAGACTTGCTTTGACACCGTTAAATCTGATAGTCGATTAAACGCTAAATACCTACGATACCGAAAATTTATTTCACGCCGCGAGGTAAAGTTTGTTGATAGTTTTTTTTTTGATAATTTCTTTCGTGCCCGAGACTTTAAGCCGTGCTATTTGAAACCGATTTAATTTGATTTGTTCCGTGTTGAGTTAGGATTTCATTTGTTTTGATTTAAAAATACTTTATTTTATTCTTGTTAGAATACACCGTTCTTAATAAATTTCATTTTAGTTTATTTAAAGTTTTGAGCGTTAAACAATTTATTTTTTTTTATTTCAATCGTAGATATAGTCGTATAGTTAATTTTTCCTACTACTGGAAATTTCCGTTAATAAATAATACATTTCATTTTAGTTTATTTAAAGTTTTGACCGTTAAACAATTTATTTTACATTCGATTGTAAATATAGTCGTATAGTCAATTTTTCCTACTACTGGAAATTTCCGTAAATAATAAATTTCATTTTAGTTTATTTAAAGTTTTGAGTGTTAAACAATTTATTTTTTATTCAATCGTAGATATAGTCGTATAGTTAATTTTTCCTACTACTGGAAATTTCCGTTAATAAATAATACATTTCATTTTAGTTTATTTAAAGTTTTGACCATTAAACAATTTATTTTACATTCGATTGTAAACATAGTCGTATAGTTAATTTTTCCTACTACTGGAAATTTATGTGAATAAATTATACATTTCATTTTAGTTTATTTGAAGGCTTAACCGTTAATTAGTTTATTTTTCATTTAATCGTAAATATAGTCTTATAGTCAATTTTTCCTACTGCAAGAAATTTTCGTGAACAAATAATACAGTTAATTAAAAACATTATCCAATAAATGATTAATTGGAACTGTTTGGGAATTGCCTAATGTTTTGATTGGTTATATTTGTAGAATTGCGACGAGGCATTTTCTTTTGTTTTATTCTCCGAACTGCAAATTTTAAGAAAATTTAAATAGCATCATTCCCAGTTTGAAGCGGCTCGTGATTACGATCGCTTCATCCAGAGATAAGGTGTTATCCCGGCTATTAGTTCATTCTATATCTAAAAATTCATTTGCGTTAGGTCTCCGTTATTTCAACAGAACTAAAATAGTATCATTCCCCTGTCTGAAGCGGCTCGTGATTACGATCGTCTCATTTAGAGATAATGTGCTATCCCGGTTATTAGTTTATTTTCCGTCTGAAACCCTCATTTGCGTTAGTCTCCGTTATTGTAAGTGAACTCAAATAGTATCATTCCCCTGTCTGAAGCGGCTCGTGATTACGATCGCCTCATTCAGAGATAGTGTGCTATCCCGGTTATTAAATTTGTTTTATGTAAAACTCCGTTATTCAATTGACATTAAATAGTATCATTCCCCAGTTTGAAGCGGCTCGTGATTACGATCGGTTCACTCAGGGATAATGTACTATCCCGGTTGTTAGTTGGTTTTACTTTCCAACCACTAGTGAGTAAACCTCTTATAGGGTCCCGGTTTCAGCTCTGGAATTAGTATTATCCCGAACCTGTCTCCTCGCATTCTCTGCAACCAATATGATATTTTATTTTACTGAAGCATTCAATTACATTTGATTGTAAATAACAATTAGAAAAATTAACAGTTAATTTTTGCTACGACCGAAATAATACTGCCGAATGATATAGCAAATTGCATTTTTAACTCAACAACAGAATAAACAATTCAATAATAAAGTTTTACTGCGACCGTGATAATTATAAGTATTGATTTCATTTTTTTTTCTTTACGTCTGATTGAGACTACTCGAAAGTCATTTCCGTCCGTTTTGTTTGTTTATTTTTGTTCAGGGTTTGTACATATTACCGTGAGGGTGGGCGTTGAAATATTTAATTTATTTTTTTTTTATTGTAAATAGTTAACCACAATATATGTGTCAATGTTAACCTGCCGTATTACTGGTTGTTAATTCCTAAATTTATTTCCCCCTTATATTTCAGCTAGTGATTAATTCTGTACCAGCCCAAGCAACGATTAAAGCCCGTTACTTGTGGCCTACTATTACCTGTGTCTAAGTAACCTTTGACCCCTGGAATTTTTCATCTCCATCTGTAGCTACCCGAGTACTTTCGACGCCGTTTCGAGAGTTTGTGGAGTAAACCATTACCAAAAATCTGGCGCTCGAGAACCGCCCGTAACCAGCGTCATTCGTAAGGAACCGTTTTCTCTGTGGCGAGAAAACCCCTTACAAAGTATCACTTTTCGCTCTTAATACACAAATAGCTATTTTCGGTAAAGTTGTAGGGAAGGTATGTACTATCGCGCATGGTGTATGCGCATGTAAGTTCTTCCGATTATTCGATGCAACTTTGCCAGATTGTGGCTAATAGAACATTAATGAATAATATCGCATAAGTACAATTAATAAATGAATTTAAAAAATGTTTACTGATTACTGAAGGTATTCCATTCCACACCATAATTCTCCTTTCAGAAGCTTGGAGGGACGTTCTACTGTATAGGTAGCTAGATAAATAAATTAATTGGAAACATGATTGATAAATAATATAAATGAAAACTAATAATCGTTGACTTAATAGAGAATGAATATTGTTAATGTACAATGACTTGACATTTATAAATGCTATCTTCCACCGTTTATTTGGTTAATATCAAAATAATGATTCAACTATTTCACCCATTTAAATGATGTACAACATTTATAATATGAAAAAAAAAAACATTTCATAATTAATATCACAAACCACAAACACAACAAAATAATGAAATTGCAAGTATTTTTAAAATATTACGTGACCACAATGATCTCAAATATATGAATGTTTACATATACATGCACGTCAGCATCAGGGTAAGTATTCTGTGGCGCGTGCATTAGTACATACCTCTACTACATATGTACCTATAAAAAAACTGTTTTAAATATGTTTTCCTAATATTAAAAAAACACCTAAAGAAATTCTTACCAAAATTTTTTTATACAGACTATCAATATTAACATCATCAAATGGCAATGCTCCTGCTAGTAAAGTGTATAACAACACTCCCATAGCCCAAACATCAACTTCGGTACCCAAATATTGTTTCCCTTGCACCAGTTCCGGTGCAGCATAAGTTGGAGAACCACAAGAAGTGTATAAAGGGTTTGCCATGCCTCCTTCAGGTTTTGCACAAAGTCCAAAATCGATTAACTTTAAATTTTGATGCCTATCTAGTAATATATTTTCCTAAAAATTATTAGAAGTGATTAATTTTTTGTTTGTTTATTATTCATCAAATAGACAAATTTCAACAAAAAAAGGCAAAAAAATTTAAATGATAACATACAAAGTATGGGTATTATCAAGCACTGCATTTTTAAATTATAAATACATTCAACAATTTAGTGTCTATCCAGAAGCCCTAAGAAAGCAAAGATAAAGTCCATACATAAAAAAGGTTTATATTAAATTGATCAACAGCCACAGACCCATAAACAAGCTTGCTATTATTTCTCAAAAATATTGAGAGAATTCTATCAGCGAGGTAAGGTAAAAATGTGCATACTTTTTAGCCAACATGGGTAAAAACAGGAAAATCAACCCAAACTGCAATTTTGTAATTTATAAATGTTGCTATCAGATTCATTAGAATAAGTAGTAAATTAGCCATGGGCATCTTTCTAGATTTATGTTTTATGCCTACAAAATAATTTTTCAGAAATACAGGTATCTAAAATCCATAACATCAAAATTTCGTTCCTATGGTATATATTGACCAAATTTATTTGTCTCTGAAATATTTGAAAAAAAAAATACAAAAATTATCAAATAAATTGATTCTGGGTCCTGATAGTATATCAAATTATCTTTTAAAAAAGTGTATTCATTCATTAGGCCAATCTTATTTACAATTTTTAAGTAAAAATGATGTCAAAAATTATAGAAGGGTATACAATATTCAACATTCCCTAACTATTTAATATAGTAAGTGATCATCTTAGTTTTATGTATAAAGAAATTATTGTAGATAATCAACATGGTTTCTGTAAAGGTAACTCTTGAGTTTTACCAACTTACTTATTTATGAAAGCAAAATATTTAGTACCTTGAAAAAAAAAACATCAAGAAGGTAGTATTTATACTGATTTCTCCAAGGCGTTTGATAGAATAGATCATGTTATTTTGATTGAGAAACTTAAGGAGATTGGATTTGGAATACGTATTTTCTGTATCTGTAACTTGTGGAGGATGAGTACTCCACGGCACTTAGGCCTCACTAGACCCATTGTGCGTCCTAAATTGATAGGCACCTCCTAGCTTCTGAGCCAGCATACAGATTTAATGTAGTTGACAACGTAACCAAGAGGTGCTTCCTTTATATTGGCAGATGTTAGCCAATACTCACCGAACACATATCTTCTATTAAAAGGTAGAAAAAAAAGGTCCTTTAGATCTCCTTTAGATAGTGTAGAGTTCTTAGTCTCTCATCTGACTGCCAAAAGTGGCACGTCGTTTTTATTGCTATTTGCAGTACAGGAAAAGGGGGTGAACAACATGTACTATGTCCCAGTGGTGGGAGCTGTCGTGAAATCTGTCAAATTCAAAATAATATTTATTATCGATGGATTTTTCATTTTTTGCTGGCTGGCTGAATAATCAAGTCGTTTTGCTGTACAAGATCAAATACCGATCAAGGAGAAGCAACACAAACTGTCGGTGCCTTTGATATCGGCTGGACCTTTATCACAGCATGAATATTATCAATACAAAACTTAATACGCTGTATTAATTTATTCTCAACGTCTTATTGTGTCCAGAGATCAGGGATATAAAGATAGAAAAACGCAACGACCGGAGAGCAACGATGGAGTCATCTATACGTATCAGAAAATAACTCAAGGTACACGTCGTTTGTAGACAGATAGTAGACGTATACAGCAGTGGAGAGTTAACAAATAAATGTCAATTTATTTGTATGTATATCGTAGAATCCTGAATTTAAATTTTAAATTTTGAGTTCATGAATGGTTTATATTGTAATGTGAACGAAGCGAAATGATTGCGGTTGTTTTTGTGTGGAGTTTGAGGACAATAATTATATTTTGTAACATTACAATAATGAGTCGGAGCACGTATTGCATTCGTAACACATGCCACATGAATAAATTTAACAACTCCAATGAGGCATTCTTAAATTAAGTAACACAAACAGTAGCCAACTTTTGTTACAAAGTATTTATTATTATTTATTGTTTTAGAGCAAGAAAATAGCTTCAAAACGTTGGAGAAGATTTGATATAGGAAGAAAAATATCTAAATTCCCATTATGAAGTTTACAGTAAACATTTAAAAAAAATGAGACACGATTGGCTACTCGTTTGAAAAATAAGAACAAAAATGTTAAAAGTTACAAATAATAATCAAAAATTAAAAAATATTTGTCATGAATAGATTTACAATAATTAATCCAGTGTTTCTCAAACTTTTTGGATGACGGAACCTTTTTGAAAAGCGAAATACTTGACGGATTTCTAAAAAAATGCTCCTCCAAGCAAAATCATATCCTCCTTCCTCTTAGTGACTTCTAAAAAAAAGGTCCTTGGGATAGATCCCTCCCTTTTGTAGCGATAATACTTTTTTTATTATGACTGTTATTTTCTTCGCGGAGCCCTCACAAAGGCTTTGCGGAGCCCCAGGGCTCCGCGGAGGACACTTTGAGTATCAATGAATGAATCATTATTTTTATTAAATAATTTACCGTAATTAATATTGTTTAAATTTATTTATCAGAACATGAAAGTGCATATATATTTACAACCTTTATTATTAGGTTTTTAAATTTCCCGCTGCGTTATTTGTTAACTGCATTCGAGCTGGTCGATGTTAAGCATATGCTTCTTATGAGCGTTTCCTATCTTTATGTCCCTTATCTCTGGTCGCGTGTTTATATTGCCTGTTAAAATTATTTAGTTTTCAAGTAAGTGGGTTATTTTGTTTTAATTAGTACCAAAACAACATTATTACTAGGTTGTAAGTTTAATCAAATTTTATTTTTATAAGTCAACCTGCTCTTCTTTTATATAAATAATAATGTATATACAGGGTGTTTCTTAATAACATGTTAATATTTGACCCATTAAAAAAAATTAATATGAATGTATGTGTTAAACGCCTTAATTTTTGAGATACCACTTTAAATATTTTTATAAAATTTGGTGTACGGCGTTTGTGCATTAAAGAGCATTTATTGACCTAAAAAACATTTTTTTATTTCCAATAGTGGCGTCCGTACTGGACTCAGACTAGATATTTTTTAAAGAAAATTTAATTTCTTAACCTTTTTTCATACTAGTCACTGTTTTCGCACAAAAAAATTAAATCCTCTTAAATAAATTATTGTTCAAAGTTGCATTAAACGTTTTTTCTCGTAATTGGTCCAATGAGATGCAAATGTATGAATTTAATTTTTTTGTGCAAAACGGTGAGTGGTACGATAAAAGTCAAGCAATTAAATTTGTTCTCATTGATCGGGGACTCTAATTTTTATTTTAAGAGAAAACATTGGCGTACTTTTTCTTTCAAAAATATATAGTCTGAGTCCAGTACGGACGCCACTGTTGGAAATCTCAAAAGTTAGGACGTTTAGGACATATATTCATATAAAGTTTTTTTCTTAAAATGCGTCCAAGAATCATCCCCTTAAATAGTAGTATGTTATTAAGAAACGCTCTGTATTGATTTTAAAATCAAAAAAGGTTTATTTTTACATAATGAAATTTTCTTAATCAGTTTCATAACTGGTTGCATAAGGTAGATCATTTTGAAACTCACTAAGATTTCAAAAACTGTCACTTTATATGTTAAAATTGGCAAGATGAAACTGTTACAAGTCGAAGAATTTATCTACTGGTTTAAATCCACCATCAGGAAAGGGGCGCAGACTAATACTAGTACACATCGGTAGTTCAAACAGTTTTGTTAAAGGTGGTTTATTGACTTTTGGTTAAATTCTACAATTTCACCAGTAAAAACATCAACAAATTAATATTTTACATCTACTAAATAAATAAACAATTCTCAAATAGTTCGACTGCTTTTTACCCTAATATAATGTGAAGTCATAAAACTATAAATAGCATTTTTCTCAGAATACCGAACGTCGAACACCTGTGTTTTCAGGTGCACAGCGGTGCATTGGAACAAAATGAGTGTCCGGCGCATAGTTAACGAAGCACAAATGACGTATTTCATTATATCATGATGTTTTCATTGGTTGAAACCGAATAGGTGCGTCAACTATGCCCCGGACACTCATTTCGGTCGAACAGTATATATTAGGGCGAGCTCGACGCGAACGGCATTCAGTAGTTGTCTTATTGCCACAAACGAGTTCAGTTGTCTTTTTGCCATCATCGCTCACAGTTGTCTGCCATCCGAACGTTCAGGTGCTTTCTGCCGACGGCACGTTACTTTCTATATTTTTACAAGCGTTTAATGCAGTTTATTTTCTGGTGCAAGTTATATCTTCTACAATTATTATGGCATAAGAAATTCTACAAACAAATGTTTTCAAGTTGGTAACTAAAAAATCAACTATATTAGTTAATCAAATTGTGATGAACTAAAATTGTAAATATTTAAAACTGTTTAGTGAAGATAAGAAAATTATTACATCTAAATGGAATCAACCACTATGTATTTACTTCAGTGAAAATAGTGAATTAAAAACACTTCTTTTTCTACTACCTATGACTCGTTAGTTATTTCTACAAAAGAACCCAATTCTTCTAACACCAGCGACATATGCTACAGAACATTTTTACCAAAGAAATATTCGGAAGTAACACCGGTATTTTTTCAACTTTTGAATCTACTCGTACCGGTGACTACCATGAGGACATGAATGCTGATGTCTTTAAAGAGTGGTTCGAACAAATTATAGATCTTCTTCCTCAGAACTGTATAATAGTAATGGATAATGCAAGTTATCACTCGAGACTTATAGAAAAAATGCCCACAACCAAGTGGTTAAAAAAAGATTTACAGAATTGGCTAAATTCAAAGAATATTAAGTTCCATCCCGGTTCTGTGAGAAAAGAACTGTATTATTTGTGTTCCCTTCATAAAGAGATATTCAAAAAATATGAAATTGATGAAATTTCAAAAAATCGTGGGATGACGGTGGTTAGATCACCACCATATCATTGCGAAGTAAACCCGATTGAACTGATATGGGCACAGATAAAGGGAGAAGTTTCAAGAAAAAATAATACTATTAAAGAAGAAGAGAAAATGTGGAAGTTGGACAATATTACTGATGAAATGATCGAGCCACTCATTGTAAATATTGGTTGCGACAGTTCATCTTCTGATTTCGATTCTGATTTGGATTTGTAGGTAAGAAGTAGTTTTTATATTAAAATTATTATTTATGAACGTAACGTTGTTTAAAAGTCAAAGTTTAAACCCTTATACCTACATAACCCGTTTGACACAATGTTCTTAACATACCTTGTGCAAAAATAAAACATTTTAGAAAAAATTGCACTTTTTTACCTTCAGCTGTTTAGAAGTTATAAGCAGGTTAATTAGGTGAAAATATAAGTGTATACTCGAGGAATAACTTCAAAAAATATTTTAACTGTCTACTAAAAGAAGTGGTACGCCTATGGATTACGAACGCTTTATTATTTTAATACTCTCTCATACATAAAAATAGATACATATAGATGCAGCTGATTCTTCTGCGGCGGCAAAAATATTTTTTAGTTTTATTCAGAAAATGTATTTGGTTTTTTCAAAATCCAGCAAAATTATTCGAAAACAAATTAAAGTTTACTATAAAACCTTTATCAGACACAAGGTGGAAAAGTGGCAAGGCAGCTCATATTATTGTAATTTAATAATGTTGAATGCAGTGAATTCTCAAAAAATAACGGAAGAATCAGATAAACTCAGTGATTGTGATTCGATTTTAAACGAAATGCTCAGCACGGTATTAAATATGCAAAGTTAATTTCTGATGGTGATAGTAGAATATGCCCTATGAGAATTTAACTGTTGAAAAAATCGAGTGTAGAAATCACTTACTCAGAAATTTTTCAAATAAATTAAAAACACTTTCAATTGCTAATACTGCTGCACATGCATTTTATAGTTATTGTATTTAACACGGCTTAACTGTTAATATAAAAAAATCTTAAATCATGACCTTTTTGCCAAAAAATATAACGATTTCAGCTATATTGTCAAACTAAATCATCAATCATTAGTACAAACAAATTTTGGCAAATTCTTAGGTCTAATTTTAGACATGTTGGCGTGGGAGAACCATATAGATCACGTATCAAATAAACTAAGCAGTATATGTTTTCTAATCCGGCAATTAAAAAACACTGTAATCTGTGTACAAAAAAAAGTTATGGCTGGGGTTTCAAGAACAACTAGCTGTAAACAACTTTTTCATGATTATAAAGCCTTAAACCTTCAATCTTTGTATATATACTTACTAATACTTAACATAAAAAACAGGAATCCCAACTATTAGATCATAGACATACACAATTAGAACACGTGCAAACACAAAAATCTACAACAGTCTTTTTCCCCAGCTTTCAGTTGGGCAGAATTTCGACATCTATAAAGGTGTTGAATGTTTCAAAAAATATGGCAATGAAAAAATCTTTAATAAATTCAAATATAAGCTTTATTAATATCTTTCGTCTAAGACAAATTATATATAAATGAATAAATATTCCTATGTAGAATTTATGGTGAATCGTCATGGTATATCTTTATTATACATTTTGATGTTCTATACTAGTGTTTACTATTCTATTTTAAATTTTAATTTGTATTTTAGTTTTACCTTATTTGTATTTTATTTTTACCTTATTTGTAACATTTTTTTTAAATTTAGAATTTATGACTGATACTCTGTGATCCCTCATGTTATATCTTTATTAAATAGTTTGATGTTTTATATCCTAGTGTTTTCTATAGTATATTAAACTTTAATTTGTATTTTATTTTTACCTTATTTGTAACATTTTTTTAAATTGTATGTGTTGACAAGGCTAATAGGTCTTATGTTCATATTTTTTTAAACTTTTACAGATTATTGAAAATATGTATGTCTGTTTATATGGGTGCTTGTAACTTGTGTTGTTCTAATTGTTAGTTTTAACTTTAAAAATAGGAGTTAAAAGAGGAAGTCTGATCACCCTAGTTGCAATAGAGGACTTCTATACAAGGACAATGCAACCAACCTAACAAAATAAAATTTACACTAATGACATAATAAATCAGTTCACCTAAAGAGACTGTTTTTCGTTTAATATTTGGTTTTTCTTATACAGTACTTATTATTCTATATTAGGCATAGCCATGCATTTACAGTTAACATGTGGCAACTACGATATCCTCGCTATCGCTATGCTTACTAACATTCGGTTCAGCTAATATCCCACCAAGACATCTTGGTGACGACTGGCTGTTACGCTGTTGCCATTTTATTAACTTATATACTAGTCGTATGCTTAACAAGAAAAAATAAATATTGTATACTTTTATGCTGTTTACATACCATGTTGTACCCGAAACGTAAAAAAATACTTTTTAGTTTAGGGTTATTTACATTTAAAGGTTGAAAAATATTGTCAACAAGAGCTGTCAACAATGTCTTATCAATAAGCATACCATTATTATTTTATTTTTATTAGTCTGTGTCTTAATTTTTTTTTACTTCTGCTTTGTTTAAACAGTTGCTTTTGTTTTATCTATTTATGTTAAATAAATAAATAAATGAAAAAACAGTTTCTTTATCTGACCCGATTTCTTGTCATTAGTGTAAATTTTATTTTATTAGGTTGGTTACATGGTCCTTGTATAGAAGTCCTCTGTATTCTTGTAGTCGACAGGTCTGGAAATGAGCTTATTTACACCACTCTGCACTGACGTCTAGAATTTGAATTTGACACAAATTTGTAATTATTACTATGTGCTAGTCTAGTATAATGTCATTTTGGTTCCACTGACATTTAATTCTAACCAAACGATTGTATATTTGATGCATATTATCTACTTACTTTAGGAATATATTTATAAAAGTGAAAACCAATATAATTTAGGTAAACAAAACGCACTCAAAAAATCTATTGTAACTTTGTCAGTGGAACCATAATTACATCATCACTAAAATAGCGTATTGAAAGGTATTATTGACATTAAAAATAACAATCATATTACTTGAAAATCTTCATAACATTTTTTATTTTTATGGGATGTAAAAATTGGTAAATAGATGATTAAAAGTAAAATAGTTATTTCAATATGCTTATTCCTTGGTTCCAAATAATTAAATATAACCTGGCAACTATATTACCGAAGTCCTCTATTCTCATATATCAAGCTCTACTATTTACTAAATATAAGAACTAGTTGCCCAATTATCTTTTAAGTGTCCTTTAATTTACTTACTGGTTTAAGATCTCTGTGAGCATATCCTAAAGTATGCAAATAAGCAACAGCCGATACAATTTGTCTAAAAAACATTCTACTTTCAGATTCTGTTAAACGATTTTTTTCAACAATATGATCAAACAATTCTCCTCCTGAACAATATTCCATAACCAAGAAAATGTGTGTCTCTATTTCAATTACCTAAAAAAAAGTTAAACATTGATTACTAGACAAAAAACCTAAACATAGTTGTTTTAATATTTTTGGGATGTTTTTGGTATTTGAATCCTAAATTTTACAAAACTGAAGAAATAACATATGTAGTTTATTATCTAGGTAGCAAATAAAAATAACAAAAATATATTATCCATTCTATAATACATACTTCATATAATTTGCATATATTTTCATGAGATAGCGATTTTAGAGCTGATATTTCCAATTTTACTCTGGCCAAATCTGCTCCAAGTAAAGCTTTATCCATTATTTTGACGGCCACTTTTTCTCCCGTAGCTAAGTGCGTGGCTAACTTTACTTTTGCAAATCCACCACATCCTATTGTTCTTTCTAATTCATAAAAACCTTTCAGTTCTAGAAATTTAACCATTTTATATATGATAAAACACGAATTAAATAGTATACGTGTTTATCATAAAAATGTACAATATTTAATATAATAAACTGAATGTTAATTCATATTTTAAAATATTTTAAAATTGTGTACATTTAGAATTAGAACATAATTACGACAAAAACAAATAATATTTATCCTAAAACCCTAACGAGATTTTTGAATAACTGACAGTTAACAGACGACAAGAATGACAAGAGTCTGTGGGGCGTGTTCCAAATCTTGCACGATGGTTGGGGTCACAAAAGCTTTGTTCACGGAGCCTGTCGCCTACAAGTCCACGACAGATGGGCTATATTAAGCTAGCGGGCACTCTGTGGCGGCACCATACAAGACCTAGTAAATTTTTTGTAGCTTTTTTGTTACGACGCTATTTGCGAATTTGTAGCTTCGCCCAGGTCCGAAAAAACAGCGGATCCGCTAGCTTGAATTTATATAAATTCCATAGTAGCGGCACAGATTCAGACCCAGCTGGTTTTTCGTAACTTTTTTGTAGCTTTTTTGTTACGCTAGTCTCCCTTTTGTAGCTTGTACTGAACCTGAGAAAAGCGCGGATCCGCTAACTTAGCGGATATTTGTAGCGGCACCAGCTCGGACCTGGGGTAGTATTCTCGAATCACGAATACTGACATTCGCATACGTGTTTTACAATGTGCTCACTTTGTTGAACGAAAACCAAGTAAGACAAATCATAAATCTCACATGCGAATCTATATTCGTGACTCGAGAATACTACCCCAGGCTCATTTTTTGTAACTTTTTTTGTAGCTTTTTTGTTACGCCTGTCTCCATTTCGTTACGAGGCCTGAACGTGAGTAATAATCGTTTCTCCATGAGCGTGAGAGAAAAGTGCGTTAATTTAAAATCAAGTTTCGGCATCTACAAGTATTAGGTCTTTTCCTTTGCATCGACAGTGTAGCACTGAGCTACGTCACTTCTGAAAATATCGTTCCATCCATACAATTTGTATAAATGGAACGATATTTTCAGAAGTGGTGTAGCTCAGTGCTACACTTTCGATGCAAAGGAAAAGACCTAAAGTATGTGACTGGATGGCTATATGACATAAACCGTACTCCTAATTTCTAAGCCACATATCAACATATATGTGTTCTAAGCCGACATGGGTAAAAAAACGGTCGGTGCGCACGACAATTTATGCGCCAGACTGTCAATTTCGAGCATTCTACCATTGCGTTCGGTCTGCCAAGTTCCTTTAACTCCTTTATCACTTTTAACTCCAAACGACCCTTTTAGCGTTAGGTTTAGTCCGATTAGTGACAGTTTAACACGCTTAAATGTCATTTAAAAGCACCCTAAAATTTGTCCAGCTCCAGCCCCTGACTGACCGAACTCGCCTTACGTCACGTTTCTCTCGGGCGTACTACGATAAGTTGAGAGCCATTTACGGTATGGAATTTTAATTTGGGGATGTGCTTTAAAGACTCATATAAAACCATTAGAAATTATCCAACGACGATTCATAAAACTAATTTGTAGTAAAAAATCCCGATATCCTTCTGATGCTCTATATTGTGAATCACAAATTATGGATGTAAGACAATTATATTTTTATGAAAGCAATATAAGATATCACAAGAAAAAAGAATTTGCTACAACTTCCACACATAGTTATAACACTCGCCACCAACATTTTTTTACTGTTCCTTTTATGCATAAAACTCTAACGCAACACTCTCAATTATTCATAGCACCTAAACTATATAATAGTCTCCCTGAGCCACTCAAACAAATAAACAATATACATAAATTTAAAAAATTGTTAAAGAATTTTATTTTTGAAATTAATAGGAATGTTATTGCCGGTTATTTTAATTAATGAAAAATGTATCTAATTATAGTAGTTAACCTAATCCATTTTACGATTACCTATATGTTGTTTTATGTAAATATATTTTAGTTTTAATATTTTCTTTATACAATTTTTTTTTTTTATTATACATATATATATTTTTAACTGTTTATCCCTGTTTATCACTGTTGTTACCGAAACAAGTGTGTATTTGTGTTAATGGCCGTGTTCATCGTCGTCAAACATGTTTTAAAAGCAAAGAAACATGTTTCATAAGCGGTTGGAATGACGCTGAACGATCATTTTTGTTTACGATTTGTTTTCTCAACCTCAAATCTGTCAAAAAATGGAATGACATTTGGTTGGCACAAAGAAGGCTATGTGAATTGTTTACTTTAGTATTTTTTTAAAAAAATTGAGTTGAATTGATTTGTACAGTGAATTAGAGTTATATAAGTACCCTTCTGAAAGTGGTTTTGACAATTTTACGGCGAAAAACCTACAACTTGTATTATTTTGGGTTGTAAAGTCATGATGTTTTTATTGCCTCTATGGATCTTGAATTCTACATACTTAGACTAATCAAAGAAATTGTAATAGTCATTTTATTAAAGGTAAAATACATTTTTTTGACACACAAATAAAAACATACTGTAACTAGATCATACTTTGAAGAGCAGAAAGAGAATGCTATTTATTGTGTTTAATCAACTGTCTGGTCTGCACCAATAAATTAAAGGAACTCATGATACTAATAACATACATATCAAAAAGTGATCTTTTTACATATATCAAGGCTACATAAAAGTGTTTAATAATAGAGACATCAAGTATGACTTTCTTATTTTTAGGGAAACAGAATTCCTTCAAAGTTAGTAATCATTTAAACTGGACTCCAGCCCAGAACTTGAGGCATGTGTCTCAAACCAGTTCAAAACTAACTGATTCGAAAAAGGAGGAAGAGATAAAAATGAAAATCAACCTGAAGTAAACTTTTATTTTTGAGTCATACCTAACATCATAAGTCCCGCTTTAGGCAAGACAAACCCACTTTCAAGTTATGTGTTCCATTGTCCCCAAAGAATGCAAGAATGTCCCGCTTTAAAAGAAAACGTGATCTGATTTAAAACATTTTTCAAAAAAGAGTGGTATCTCATATAAATATGTGCTAGTGAAAAAAACTTACTTAATTTGAAGTATCAGTATTGAAAGCCAAGCATAACATAAACAAGTCACGTCAACAGTTCCATTCCCATTTAAAAACTAAAATATAGAAAATCAGCCCACTAAACAAGTTTTATTTCGCTTTTCTAATTTCTAATAAACAAAATTATGTTATTTCACTTATTTTTAATACATTTTTTTATTATATTATTGTTTTACTTTTACTACAATCTTACTGTTGTTATTCTACATTAAAAATAATGAAAAATTGCTGTTGTCTTTTAAAATTTACAGGCTTCTTGCTGTGAGGTAAGAAATGATAACGTTTTATTACAAAAACCGAAAATTGTTAAAATAATCCCTATCTAATGCTTTACTTATTTTTTTACAAAGTATTTTTGATTTAGGTACTTAGGTGTTATACATTTTTGGTCATTGCTAATATTCATATTGAGTCTGAATTATTTTTATGTATTAATAAAATTTGTCTAGTATTATAGAGTTATACATACCTTATCGACAAACTATATACATTAATTCTTTTATAGGAATGATATATTTTGTATTGGAAATTAATAAATATACAAACTTAATGTTGTCATATAGGTAGAGCGACTTATTAGCAAAAATTATTTGAAATGTATACAGTAATGAGGTATTTTTTTAAAGGTTCAACAAACCAAGGTGGGCCCTTTTTAATATAATTGCTTATATTTAATTTATTTTGTAAATAAAATGTCATACTTTTATTATTATTATTTATTTTTTAATGCCCTTTTGGCCCTATATACTGTAAACTACACAAATAATTAAATGTTTATTTTACGTATGAAGTTTATTAATATTAAAATAACGTTACAAAAATAATAATTATTAAAACAAATGGAATAACACAGTCTTAACAAAGAAATCGACTGCATTCCTCAACGTTGTTCGATAATCTGTCCATCCAAATAGTTGACCCACTGATTGAACCTTTGAATATGATTGAACGACCCTTTTCTGTCGGCCGCCCGGTTTACGATGTTCTTGTTTCCCAGAAATCGTCTCGGGTTAAGGGACCATCCAAAAATAGATTACAGTCGGCCTACCTGACTTTTTCACGACCCCGTGAAACATGGTTAAACTATAACAAAGAAAATATATTAATTAAGCTGAAATTAATAAATATGAGCACGAATATTTTTATTCGTCCTCGGCTTCACAGTGTCGCTTTGCGAAACTATCACTTCATTTTGTCTGAAGGACAAATGCCCGTATCTAGCTGTCCTACAACGTTCAGACCCTAGCAGTTCGTCAACCACGTACCGATCATTATCAAGTACTTTAGTAACTAGGAAGGGTCCTCTATAACAAGGTTCAAGCTTTCTGCTCCGCCCATCATTGGGGCCTTTATTGCCTTGTATCAACACATGTTGGCCAACCTTAAATTCCCGTAACGGGGCATGCCTCTTATCGTAATACTGCTTCTGCAGAAGCTACTGTTCTCGTTATCTGAGAAACATCATCTCTCAACGTCCCTAGGTCTTGGCGTTGTTCGCATGTAACCTCTGACGTGAGAAATGCGTCACTTACGCCACGGGGGCGATAACCAAACAAACATTCATAAGGGTAGGTTGTACAACAGGCAGTTAAAATGTAATCTTAGTATGATGATCGGTTACTGTTAAATATAGTTTTAGAAATGACATTTGTACGGTAAATATAACCAGTTAAAAATTAAACTAATGGTTAAACTAAGTTTACATCATTCTTTGTACAACCTGTCCTAAGTGATTTTATGGTGGTGAAATTAATTGTCGAATTAATTCCAAACGTAACTTTGCTCACAGCTTCATCCCAACGGGATTCGTCTTCTACTTGACCGTTAGCCCGATGGGTCAAAGTAGTACATTCTACATGTTTAATACCTAACGTTAAATATACTTGTTTAACACCTACAGTTAAACATACCTGTTTCTACAGTTAAACAGTATTCCTTAAAATTCTTTTTCATAAAATCAGTGTCACCGTCGCAAATAAAACTGCGAAGAACCCCGAATATTTCTATTACCTCATCTAGAAATTGCAGTACAGGCACCGGCTCAATTGTTGTATTTTTGTACCGCTTTTTTTTAAAAAATACAAATTTCGTAAATTAAAGCCGTCAAGTGCTACGATGAGATAGGAGTTTTTCCTAATAGTCTTATACAAATTTCTTAAAGCCGTTAATTAATATGGTGAGATACGTGTTTTCCTAACACTCTTATAAAAATTTCTTAAAGCAGTTAATTGATGTGAAGAGATACGAATTTTCCTAGCACTCTTATAA